GAAGATACCTGTAAAATTTAATTTCAGCACAAATGTTATATCGTGGCGACATGCGATCGTGATTTGAAACGACGGATACGAAAAATTCCTGGAGTTCCGATAATGTATATTCTTGGACATAGATTTTCAATTGAACGTATGCCTGATGCCTATGGTGCTCCACAGAATTAACATTTTGATTGTTGGTGTTACTCTTCCGTTCTTAACTTACTTTTTATTAAGCGTAGAGTCCTAGTCGATAAACTTTTGTAGCAAGGAAAGAGTGCAGAATGAAGACTATTGGTTTTGCTGACGTGAGGAGATCCAGCTCCTGAAGTGTTGTTGATGTTATTGTTGTTGTTGATAAAGATTTTATACAGCTTGTGAAGTATTGTTAGCATTTGCTTTTGAAAGCATAAATACTGTACCTTGCCGTTACATATTTATATAGATTTTAATTATTTTTGTTGAAGTAGCATTCTAAGGGATAGGTAACTCCTACCTGTTCACCAGCTGGAGGACCAAAATCAATCCATAGAAAGCGGCCACCATCGTCGCCTGTTGCACGTATAGCTTCGAAAGGGTGTTGCCAGAGTATCTAAAAGGTTAGTTCAATACTCTGATATACTTTTTCCTTCCTCAAATTCCGAATTTATACCTCCCTACTCGGTCCTGTAAGTGATATTCCCACATCAAGATTGACAACAAGTTCACAGTTCTCTCCTCGCCATATGCATGGAGATGTTACCTAGGAGGTCCTTTTTTATTTCGGATCGCCCATTTTTCTTTCTTTTCATTTTTAACCACAGCTTTACGATCAAGTTGAATTTTTGTCATATGATACCATTTTTCCGGTTACCTGTGGTATCGTATTTCTACCCTTTGATCAAGTTCATTTCGTTTGTTTGTTCAAAATGTTTTTTCAATTTTTTCCTGCCCTCACCTGCGAAGTTTCTGAGCACGCCTCATATGTCCCCAAAACAATTGCTCGTACCCATTGAGCGAGATCTGCATGGGTTTCTACTCGCAGTGTGTGCGTGCGAACTCCATTTTGGGTTCCAGTTCTTATCCTTAGTGAAATAACGTCAGATAGTCCTGTGAAAACTGACTTGATCTGCCGAAATCTCAATCACATCGATTCGTTATGTTACCTTTCATAACTGGCGCCGTTCGCGATGTTGTCTGAACAACTCTGGTTGCTACCAGAGGTCGGGTGATCCTCGGTTCCGCCCATTCAGTTTTTAGTTGCGGCACAGCCTCATAGAAGAGCAACTCATTTTGAGTGAGAGTGAGGAATTTTGGCTTCCACATTATTATACCATCTTCGCTTATCTGAAACGACAGTACCAATTAATTTTTCAATAAGGTAGTTCAATCTGATACGTCTGGTACCCAGTGAATAATCAGACAAACTCACATGTCTCCTCTCTCTATTTCCAATTACTAGATTATCATTTAAATTTGTTTTATTTGCACATTGCAACGGAAAGCTATTCTGTTTGAAAGAACATAGACTTTCAAACAATTTTCAAAAAAGACAATATATGGAATTGAAAGATACTTGAAACAGGGTAAAGTCTTTTTCTAGAAGTATCGATCTGAGATACGCAGAGATTGAATATTAAATATTGCTTGGAAGCAGACTGCAGTCATTTTTGACGTAAAACGCAAAATAATGCACTTAAGCTGGATAAGCTATACATTCTTAAATGTCGTCTAAGCACTGCGTCTCGTTCTTATTTCTTCTTCTCATCATCTCAACAATTGATTTCTCACCTGTTCCGAAACCCAACCCATTCGTCGTACTTGTGGATGTCCTCCAAGCATAAGGTTGACCTGAAAAGAGCCTAGATATTTTCTGGTTTGACCAATTATATGGGACTAAGTCCACGACAATAAATATAACATTACGATAAGTTTGGAGATGAAACGGTGAAAAGAATTATTCTACCTGTGCTAGAGCTTGAGTAAGCAAAGCATTAACACATCCATGGATCGCCTCAAACCACGAGTCGGCTTCGACTGAAGATGCGCATCGGAAGGCAAGGGCATAACGTCCGGATGGACTTCTCATCTGAATGCTCATGCCTTACATCTCTTCTTTCATCTTCTCAGTCCAGAAGCTTTTATAATCTCTCTAACTTCTAACAATTTTTGGTTAAGAAAAGCAAAATTTAGTGGAAGTCCTTAATATATCATCTTAGCAAGCAAACAGTTCTTACACCTCAAATATTCTTCCTTCAGCATCTGCGTCGATCCCAGCACGCGCTACATACGCCAATTTCAATCCTATAGCACGAATCCTATCCCGTGTGTCATCGTCCCATTCAATTTTTTCCACAACATTATCGCTTCTTACCATTTCGTCCCTCTTATATTGGACTGAAATTGATGGGTTGCTCTTCAAAAAACAATTATTATTCTTAGACTACCATAAAGATCCACAACCCTTCCTGCTCTCTTTAAGGCTCGCACAGCATCGTCGTGTGTGGCATCGATGAGCGACTCGCCGTTTACGGC